CCGCTGCGGTCTGGACGCGCGCGATGAGGGATTACGCCGACTCCAAAAGAGAAACACAACTCCAAACCGCTAATGCAGGGACATGTGTCATCCGGACGGAGCCGCTCGGAACGCCGGAGTGTTCCCGCCGTTGAAAACCTGCACCTGTCTTTTTTACGGAGAAGAGCTCGACGTCGCATCGATTAAACCCCGCTGGAAGTGAAAGGAGAAAAAAGGGCCGTTGTATCGAAGGCTTTTCCCGAACCGCGCCAAGTTACACACACACACACGCGAGTCCTGGACGGGTTTTGCGGTTTACAACGATCAGTTATAACCCGAGGGACGAAAACTATTTATTACGCTGAGCTAAATCAGTGTATCCCATTTTTGGTTTTTTAAATTAATTTATGGACTGTAAGAAAAACATGTGTGATTCGTATTACGGTGTTTAATCCATGCCACTGCGTTCAGATTGAAATAAGACTTTAAACAGGTGGCGCGGGGCGACGTCTGCCAGGTTGTGTCGTCAGAAACGTACAAATGAAACGTTCGCCTGCAGAAGAAAGTATGGGAACCTTAACCCGTCCAGACCAGAAGGCAATTTGAGTAGGTTTTTTGTCCTCGCCTGGATTTTTTTTCTTAATTTTGCATTTAAAGTTCCAACTTTTAAACATCCTTTTATTTCAGTACGACCTGTTATTTCACAATCTGCTGCTGTAGTCGTGTCGTGTGGATGTAATAAAAGCGACAGGACCAGAAAAACACATGAAAAAACCTCAAATTAATTCACGCTTTTTCATACAAAACACACAGCAAACTTGTTTAAACAACTTTTTGGATATAAACCAATATTAATTTAGAGTTTTAGCGACAAAAGTGCAAAATATCAAGTCTGTAAATAAACTAAAAATATACTTATTGTCCTTAAAACAAAAACAAAAAAAGTGCAATCATCAATTTACTTTTCTGGTGTCAGTCGTGGAAACAGCTGGTGTCAGGTCCAGTTCACAGAGTAACATCACTTCCTGCATTTCCGTGGGGTTTATTACATTTATATTTGTACATTTCAAATAAAAATAGCAAAGGATGCGCAATTACGCAAAACCAAGATGAGTAATTTGGCATTTATTTGAGAAATATCTGCACTTAGAGCGGCTTTTTCATTTGTTACGAACACAGACGCTCAGAGCATCGATCATTTTGACTCACTACAGTCTTTGGCAAAGTTTGGGCCGATCAAAATGGACAGAGAGCATGAGTTTGGTGGAAAACAAAGTTCCTATTGGACATTTGTTTTCCCGACGTCATCACGCAGCATGTGTGTGATGTACGATAATGCTGGAGATCTGCTTGGAAGGCCACAACTGTCTAGCCAGTCTGGTGCCACCTAGTGCCTCCGCTCAATTTCATTTCTCTCCAGCGACTAAGTCAGGAAACAGAATACACTAGAAGATTTGTAAGAACTCTGGAACTCCAAGTTTGGGCACCAGCCAATCAGCGAAGAGCCGTACATTCTGTGTTGTCAACGATTCCCGAGATCGAGGATTTAAAGCCGGAACAAAGAGAATGTTTGGTAAATTTTATCAAGGGGAAAGACGTTATTGTCCTTCTTTCTACGGGATGTTGGTGCATTACATATGTTACAACCAAATAACAGCGATTAGGTTAAATAAAAAAAGTATCTACCTACTGTTGAGCAAATGAATCCTAATGCTGCGAGGTCAGACGGTTTCCACAAAGGCTGATGAATCAGGCTACTACAATATAGACGCTTTAGGGCAATTTACAAGTGTCTTAAGTAACCTCTAAATATTAATTATTTATTTTATTTATTTTTTATTTATTTTACTTTTTATTTATTCAGTTTTTCAAGTTTTGTGAAACAAATGAACAAATACAAAACCTGGGACACTGTTCCACTGTTATAAGGATACAGAGGTCAAGTCTCTTTTTAAATAATAAATTAATTTGCATAAAATTTAGACCCAAATATTTTGGATTTAAATTTTTTTGGACTATATATATAATAAAGGTTCATATTCTTGCTTGTGATGTGCCTAAAATGTTCCACAATATGTCCATAAATGTATAAATCTCCACGGCAACATGCAAATCAAATTAAATGGTTGTTTGTGTGATATTTTTGAATGATAAACAAAATCTGTAGTTGAATAAAAACAACACAGATCAGATAATAAAAGGTGCACTGTTAAACGCTTTTCTCCATGAAGACGTTATTGCTTTGTCTGGAATGTTCCACAGTGTGGCATTAAACCTTTCTATCTTCGTAGAGACCAAACTGGATCATGTTGCAGGTCAGATCTGTGGAGAGGCGACCCCGCTCACAGTCTGAATATACTGTGTTATTTTTTCTGTAGTTTTAAATGATAAAACTACATCTGATTGAATAAATTCATAAATAACTTTACATTTTATCCTTTTGACTTTGCATTTTGCCTAAAAATATAAACAGTTTTCATTTATTGAGGTGATCCATCAAAAAATAAAGTTTCAGATCACCTCGATTAGAACCCTGCATTAGGTTTTAGCACCAAAAGAAATGATGATTCACAAAGAAATTTGGAAGAAAAAGGAGATGTTTCAGATGTTACTCAAGCTGCATGAAGTTTCCTGGAAAATGACTCATTTTGCGTTTTCAAGTCACTTTTACGCAAGTTTTAGTTTGAGTTTGCAGAATAAAATGACAAATTATTCGAAAATACCTTATTTATTTGGTTCTATGTTATAGTATATTCCCTATAGGACAGCCTTTAAATATTTATTAATTTGCATAAAATTTAGACCCAAATATTTTGGACAGATATGGAACCAAATGCAGGGTTTAATCTAGAGAATATTTAAAAAAAAAAATGTTTGGACAAGACCTACTATATAATATAGTGTGTTCCATGTATAATATGTTCCAAATTTGTTCCAAATTTGGACCCAAATATGTTCCAAAAATGTTCCACAGTACGGCATTAAACCTTTCTATCTTCATGGAGACCAAACCGGACCAAGTTACAGGTCAGGTCTGTGGAGAGGCGACCCCACTCACAGCCAGAATGTCTGTTTTTCTAGTTTTTTTGAGCTATAAAACCACCTGTAATTGAATAAATGTTAAATAAAAGTAGAGCTGTTTAAAGTCACACCGTGGAACATTCCGGGCAGAGCAACGACGTAGCCGTAGAAACGAAAAGTGACACACGTAGTCCACCTTTAAAAGAAGAAAGAAATTTGGAAGAAAAAGGAGATGTTTCAGATGTTACTCAAGCTGCATGAAGTTTCCCGGAAAATGACTCATTTTGAGTTTTCAAGTCACTTTTACGCAAGTTTCAGTTTGTGATGTGTGAATGACAAATTATTCGAAAACACCTTATTTATTTGATTCTATGTTATCGTACATTCCCTATAGGACAGCCTTTAAATATTTATTAATTTGCATAAAATTTGGACCAAATGTTCCAAATTTGGACCCAAATATGTTCCAAATTTGTTCCAAATTTGAACCCAAAAGTTCCAAATTTGGACCCAAAAATGTTCCACAGTATAGCATTAAACCTTTCTATCTCCATGGAGACAAAACCAGACCATGTTATAGGTCAGATCTGTGGAGAGGCGACGCGGCTCACAGCCAGAGGGTTTGTTTTTCTAGGTTTTTTTGAGCTTTAAAACCACCTGTAATTGAATAAATGTTGAATAAAAGTAGAAATGTTTAATGTCACACTGTGGAACATTCCAGGCAGAGCAACGACGTAGCCGTAGAAACGAAAAGTGACACACGTAGTCCACCTTTAAAAGAAGAAAGAAATTTGGAAGAAAAAGGAGATGTTTCAGATGTTACTCAAGCTGCATGAAGTTTCCTGGAAAATGACTCATTTTGAGTTTTCAAGTCACTTTTAAGCAACTTTTATGCAAGTTTCAGTTTGTGTTTGCAGAATAAAATGACAAATTATTTGGTTCTATGTTATAGTATATTCCCTATAGGACAGCCTCTAAATATGGAATTAATTTGCATAAAATTTGGACCCAAATATTTTGGCCAGATATGAAACAAAACAAACAAATACAGGGTTTAATCTGGAGAATCTAAAAAAAACTAAAATAAAAATTGTTTAGACCACCCTACTATATATAGTAAAGATTTGTATTCTTGCTTGAGATGTGCTTAAAATGTTCCACAATATGTCCATAAATGTATAAATCTCCATGGCAACTTGCAAATCAAATTACATGGTCATTTATGTGTAATTTTTGGGCAATAAACAAAATCTGTAGTTGTAAAAAATACAATTCCAAATTAGATAAAAAGGTGCACGCTTTTCTCCATGGAGACGTTATTGCTTTGTTAGAAATGTTTCACAGTACGGCATTAAACCTTTCTATCTCCATGGAGACCAAACTGGACCAAGTTACAGGTCAGAATGTCTGTTTTTTCGAGTTTTTTTGAGCTTTAAAACCACCTGTACTTGAATAAATGTTGAATAAAAGTAGAGATGTTTAAAGTCACACTGTGGGACATTCCAGGCAGAGGAACGGCGTATCCATAGAAACGAAAAGTTACATACGTAGTCCAACTTTCAGAACGTACAATTTCAACCAAAGCATGCAGATAGAAATGAAAACAAACTAGAAAAGCTGCACAACGTATTTTTAATTTACAAAAAAAAAAGCAAAAGCACAACAACAAAAAACAAAAAAAAGACGATAACTCACCACATCTAACATCCGCTGTTACGCGTTAAAAAAAAAAACAAGTGTGGTTCAGCGCCGGCTCGCACATGCCCAGTGGCGAGAGCGCGCCGGAGAGAACGCCATGCTGACATCATTACCCCCTCTTTGCATAATGGGAGCCAGAGGGGCCGAAATTACTCGTGTGAAATTCAAATACGGCCGGCATTTTACTACGCCTAACGCCGCCATAAATCTTTTACAGCTACGGCAGGGCTAATTTTTATGGTCTTGTGCTCTTGTGCGTGGTGTGGGGTGCAGAGGGTGTGGGGGGGGGGGGGGGGACTGACCGTGCTCCGTGGCGGCCCTCAGCGTGGCCTCGGAGTGCGTGGATCCGAGAGGGTTTCTCGCGAACCGTCGTCTCCTCCTTAAATCGTCCTCCCAGTAGTCGAGGCGCCAGAAATCCCTCGGACGGCTGCAGCGAGACAGAGGTACAACATGTGTTAGCAATTACCAAGCCGGCGTTGCTAGAGCGAGGCCCGGCATCAGCGCGAGGACATAAAGACAGCTTTGTGTAGTGGTCGGACTTGTGTGTTTTTTTTTTTTTGGTAAAAGATTTAAAGGTGCATTGTGGGACTTTTCGGGTAAAGCTGTCGACTATCGCCAAGCAGATTTCAAACTACAACACATTTGTGCTGATCGGACTTTTTCTGTGATTTTAGTCCTGGGTTTAGAACTGGTTTAGTCCTGGTTTAGTCCTGGTTTAGTCCTGGTTTTAGTCCTGATTTAGTCCTAGTTTTAGTCCTGGTTTAGTTCTGGTTTAGTCCTGGTTTAAACCTGATTTTAGTCCTGGTTTTAGTCCTCGTTTAGTCCTGGTTTTAGTCCTGGTTTAGTCCTGGTTTAGTCCTGGTTTAAACCTGATTTTAGTCCTGGCTTAGTCCTGATTTTAGGTTTGGGTTTAGGTCTGTTTTGTTTTTTTTTCTTCAGGGGGATCGAACTTTGAAAAGATTTAAAGGTGCATTGTGGGACTTTTCCGGTAAAGCTGTTGCCTGTCACAAACAGGTTTCAAAAATACAACACTTTTGGACTTGGTTTTTTCTGTGAATCAGACTTTAAAAATAACTTTTTTTTTTTTTGTGGAGGGTCCACTACCTGCTTGTCTCCATGGAGATGTTACTACTTTGACTAAGTGTGACAAGCAGGTTTCAGTATTACAACATTTGTGTGGTGTATAGGACTTTGAAAAGATTTAAAGGTCCATTGTGAAACTTTTCCGGTGGAGTGGTGGAGGGTCCACTACCTACTTGTCTCCATGGAGATGTTATTGCTTTGTCTAAAATGTTCCGCAGTATACTTTAAAGCTAAATCTGTCATGAGGGAGACAAGCAGGTTTCAGTACTACACTATGTGTGCTGTTTCGGACTATGAAAAGATTTAAAGGTGCACTGTGGAACTTTTGTGGTGGGGGGTCCACTACCTGCTTGTGTTTACAATGTTCCACAGCACAGATTCAATCTGTCTATCACAAACAGGCTTTACCACTACGCTACACTTCGTGCACGATGTCAAGTGCACCCTGTGTTTTGGGGTGAACAATAACAACGAGGCCACGGGCGATGCCACCGTGTCATGTCAGCGGCACCAGTCCCTGACATGAGGGTCAGTGTGTGTTTGGAGAGGAGAGAGCTTCACTCACAACGGACCCTACGCCCCTCATGACGCTCGGGCTTAATAATAAGAATAATACACAACACTTGTATAACACTTTTCTCAACACACAGTTCAAAACAGACAAAACACAAATGAAGACCCAGCTAAAAATGGAGACTCCATCAGAAAAGTTCCACAGTGCACCTTTAACCACAACAAGCCTGTGTCTTTGATAAGGACGCTGGCTCCTCGTCCCGCTGGGTCCGCGCCGGTTCGGGGGGGGGGTTCTATTCCCCAGGACTATCCCGTTACACTATTGGCAGCGACAACACCTTGAGAAAGCGGAGCTGTCGGGAACAACGTGTGGAATGACAAAGCGGCGCTCGGAGCTCGTAAAACACGCCCCGCACGCTCTGATGTGCCGGTTTACGTTTAAAGGATTTCAGACGGAAGATGTATTCGGAAAGAAATGGCTCAAATAAGAGTGTGTGAGTGTGTGTGTGTGTGTGTGTAAGTTGATCGTCAAAAAGTTCTTGACAATATAGAAACAATACAGCAGATGTTTGATTCATGATGTTTCAGTTTCTGCTAAAACTCCAGTAACGACACTATAAAAACAATATTAAAGAGGAGGTATTTTACTTCTGTGGGGCATTAACCACGTTACCTTTTACTGTTTTCAAAATGCTAAGTCACTCCCCCTTCAGAGCGTCATCGCAACACAATCAGCTACCGCACATCGCATCGGGTTTGTGTCATGTTTTTGTGTATTTCTGGAGAGTTGTCGTGGGCTTGTGGGCGGAGCCTCGTACAGAATCTCACAGCTAACCTTAAAAAGGGTTTGAATAGGGCCCAGGAGAGATCGCTAAATTACTCAAACACACACGGACGACAAATAAAACCGCAGGCGTCGATCTAAAGCAGTGAGTCTCCAACCTTTTATCCTTTGGTCCTTTTATGAAACGAAAATGCCAGAGAGTTACTGTTTTTAGAGGTCGCAAGAAATTGAAAAAAGTCTAAGAGCTTTAAACAGTTAAGTTCCTATAAAACATAAACATTATCTATTTATTAGTGCACAAGTTAAGCATCAAAATGACACATTTACAGTGGTAATTCATTCGATTTTTGTTATTAAGCACAAAAAATATAATTCAGAAATCTCTTGGTGAACACTTTGGAATGTGGTGGAGAGCTGCTGGTAGCTCCCGAGTTAAGCCCAATTTACGGTCCAGCGTCAAATCATCTGCGTCACAATGCAGAGAGTCTGTGTCAACTCCCTACACAGCGCGTGTGCGTTGACCGACGTGCACCATTGCACCGTCACCTGCAAATTTTCTAACTACACGTCGAAACAACACAGACAGCAGGAGGTGACGCAGAAAATAAGAGCTTTGACTTGTTCTCTCTACATCCCCTACACACACGTCCTGGACTTCACTTTCCTTTCTTTACGTTTAATGTGTTTAATGCAGCTTTGCGCACATTTGTTTACATTTTACAGAAACGAAACTTAAAATCACATGACTCATTTGCATAAACTATAAGCTCTGAAAAAACTGCTCGCTCCTTGTGCGCTGATGCAGTTCAGTTTGTGTTGGACTAAAGGACACGACTCAGTGGATTATGAGTGTTCTCTCTGTGATGTTCTGCTGACGGTGAGTCTGTTCTGTGCTTCTGTTGCATTGGAGATGGTTCATAAAAAAACGACAGCAATAAGCCGACAGCATCAGTGTGGTTTGAGTCGACGCAGAACTATACTTCACCCTTTACAGACTGGAGACCCCGGATCTATGGACCATAACTAAAAAATGTGGTTTGATTTTAGCGCAATGAGATAGATATATAGATATATATATATTTATTTATTTTTTTGTCTTAGTTACATTGTGTAACTTTATGGTGGAGGGTCCATCAAATGCTTTTCTCCATGGAGATGTATTGCTTGTATATGCTTTGTTTGGAATGTTTCACAGTATGGCATTAAACCTTTCTATCGTCACGGAGACCAAACTGGACAAGTTACGGGTCAGATCTGTGGAGAGGCGACGCCGCTCAGTCAGAATGCCTGTTTTTCTAGGTGTTTTTGTGCTATAAAACCACCTGTAATTGAATAAATGTAAAGTAGAGCTGTTTAAAGTCACACTGTGGGACGTTCCAAAGTAATGACGTATCCATAGAAACAAGCAATTGAAGGACCCCCAACTCTAAAGTTACGTAGCACAAGTTTAAAATAGAGGGTTATTTTATTGTTAATCCAAACAAAACAAAAACTATACTTGTGTACTTATGCAAACAGGGTTCTCATGGTCATGGAAATCCTGGAAAAGTCATGGAAATTGGAAATGTAAGTTTCCCAGGGCTGGAAAAGTCATAGAATTTTGTAAATTCAGTGAAAGTTTTGTGAAAGTGAGGAAACTGGTTTTGGTTAAGCGTTAGGGTTAGAGTTTAGGGTTTAGGTCAGAATGTTTGTTTTTCTTGGTATTTTTGAGCTCTACAACCACCTGTAATTAAATAAATGTAAAGTCGAGCTGTTTAAAGTCACACTGTGGAACATTTCAGGCAAAGCAATGACGTATTCATAGAAAAAAAAGCAGGTAACTGACCCCGAACCAAAAAGTTACCTACAGTTTTGCGCCTTAAAAACGTTAAAATAAAACAAAAATGAATGTTACAAATACATACACTCATGCATTTATTTATTTTTCATATCACACTTTATATTTTCAGTATTTTATTTAGTCTGAGAGGCCCGCTGACCCTGCGACCTCCGCTCTGCCGTCCGGACGAGCAGAAGTGGAGCGGTCCAGACTCACGCTTCTCTCGGCCTCGTTTCGGGCCCAGCGGGAGGCCCCAGGAGAGAGCGAGAGCGAGGGCCTCGGGCGGGGGCGCAGACTCCAACACATCTACCAATATTAATCACTGTCTGTACTCGCCACTTTCCTCTTCCGTTTACATCTGCAGAACGAACGTCCCCGTATCAGCGCCGAGTAAGTTTTAACGAGGAGCTTTTGTTGTTGAGAGTGAACCTGTCCACGGTGAACGATGGCGTCCATTTACAAACTGGTTTCATTAAAATATTCTGAATATTTTACTTAATTTATTCAGAAAAGTAATACTCAAATCCACACTGATATCTTTGTTTTTTATGTTTTTTATAGTGTACAGATTGATACAGATTGATTACAAATAAAATTTATTATTATTATTAAAAATAATTTTTTCCTTTATTATTCAAACTAGGACTAAACCAGGACTAAAACAGGACTATATCAGATCCAAACCAGGTCTAAACTAAGACTAAAAACAGGACTAAACTAAAACTAAACCAGGTCTAAACCAGGACTAAACCACGTCTAAACTAAGACTAAAACAGGACTAAACTAAAGACTAAAACGGGACTAAACTAAGACTAAAACAGGACTAAACTAAGACTAAACCAGGTCTAAACCAGGACTAAACCACGTCTAAACTAAGACTAAAACAGGACTAAACTAAGACTAAACCAGGTCTAAACCAGGACTAAACCACATAAACTAAGACTAAAACAGGACTAAACTAAGACTAAACAGGACTAAACTAAGACTAAACCAGGTTTAACCAGGACTAAACCAGGTCTAAACTAAGACTAAAACAGGACTAAACTAAGACTAAACCAGGACTAAACCAGGACTAAACCAGGACTAAAACAGGACTAAACTAAGGAAAACAGGACTAAACTAAGAAACAGGACTAAAATAAGACTAAACCAGGACTAAACCAGGACTAAACCAGGACTAAACCAGGTCTAAACCAGGACTAAACCAGGACTAAACCAGCTCTAAACTA